TGCACATGTAATGCATGAAATGCTGAATGCGAAAGCGTTCAAGAAGATATATATGTCCTGTTTTCTTCCAAATCGCCTCTCAGGGACTAGCAGTGGCCGGCTGTCAGAGATTGTTGGCTCATTGAGAACTGTGAATACAGCTTGTTGTTAATGGAAATCAACTTCAATTCAACGTGTTACGACGATTTTCAGAAGCAAAAGAGCAATTCTTCTATGCAGAAACTATTCACTTGAAAACATCTAAGCGCTTTCTGGGCGAACCTACTGATATGGGAAGTTTCATTTCTGGATGAACACAGCTGGAGAGGTAGGTCTCACATGAGAGTATGCTTCAGAAAAAATGCAGTGGTCTTGAGCTGGGTTGTGTGATTGATCCATGCGTAATTGTTTCATGATTGAATTATTTTGGACGATCCCTGCCATGCCATTAAAACAAATGATTGAAATGCCATGGGGTCGATCACTCGAAATAGAGTAAATTGGCCTATAGAATATCCTAGAGTGGATTTAAAACATTGCCCTACAAAAGCAGAACGGAGGACGGGCCTTGCGAAAAGTCTCAATTGTTTTCACATCCTCGATGACATTTCCATGGTCGACTTGGACACCCCATTATAGTAACAACATGATTTCCCCCACCTATTTTCAAATAAAGAATGGGTTACCCCGTCTAAATAATACAAAGTCAGTATAAAATGGGGAGTACAAACTGACCAAAACCAAGCAAAATGACATAGTTTTCTGCATATATATATATATAACCTAAATTTGAGCCAAAACGGTTGACGCCACCCTGCTCTCAAGGGTTCATGAGGCAAAATGGACGCCAAAATATGCCCAAATGATCCAACATGGACACAAACCCCACCAACAAATCATTCTATATGGGGTCAGGCTTGGAAGTGTTATAGAATGACCAATGATGACGGACGACGACCAATCGCATTGAGCACTCACACAGTTCCACCTTTTCTGAATCGCACGGTGCTCTGTGAAGTCTTTCATCAAACACTGTAAATCTGTAAATGCTTAGCATATACCACTGGACCTTCCCCCATTCACAAAACAACCACCAGGGCTCAGATTCATTTGAATGCTCTCCAACACATACTTGAAACAACTAAGCAGATCTATATCAGCAGCTTTTAACAGCAATGTCACAACAATTCCACATTCTGCCAATCTCTTACAAGCGATGCTTGATTGATGCCAAATGGAATGAGCCAAATGGCTTCTTCTTGCTTGGTTCCAAGACTGTCCAAGAAAAAATATAATCAATCAGCATGAGACTCCCCCGTACTTGTTACCTTGGGTGTCTTACATTGCCTTTTGTAGAACAAGGGTTGCTATAAAATGAGTTGCCTGTGATACTGTAAATTGTCTATTAAAAAAACAATACTGTTGCACACATATATATATATATTATATATGTATCATGGCTACTAGCAATCCAAACAAAAGTATAAGCAGTATCACAATCAAGAAACACAATTTCAAAAAAAGAGGTGACTTAGATCTGCAATTCAAAAACCTTGAACGTATATTACAAAATGCAACGCCTGACATAATGAAGCAAGATATTGCTCATAACAAAAGTCTCCATAAAATGCACTGTCGAAGTAAAGGCAAACGTGAAGAAAACAGAGTTTCTTGAGGACCCCTAGCCTCATCTAGCCTCTATAAAATGCCTTGCCAGGGTTCTAAAATGTTTCCACTAAAGGCCTCCCCTCCTTGGATGTTCCTGCCCTTGGCCCCCCCCGACACTCCAATTCTTCCTGACTTGTTTGCATGTCCTTATCCGATTCTAGCCCGTGCCTAGTGGAAAACACTTGGGAACCCTGGCCAAGCATTTTATAGAGGCTAGCGGCTAGGGGTCCTCAAGAGACAGAGTTTCTTGAGGACCCCTAGCCTCATCTAGCCTCTATAGAATGCCTTGCCAGGGTTCCCAAATGTTTTCCACTAAAGCCTTCCCCTCCCCAGATGTTCCCACCCTGAGCCCCCACACTCCAATTTTCCCTGACTTGTTATGACGTGTTTGCATATCCACATCCTACTGTAAGATTCTAGCCCGTGCCTAGAAAACACTTGGGAACCCTGGCCAAGCATTTTATAGAGGCTGGGGGGGGTCCTCAAGAGAGAGGGTTTCTAGAGGACGTGTTCTGTTTGATGTATTTTTTTTGTTCTTTTTTGGAGTTGGTGAACCGTTCAATTGTCAATGACTTTAATGTGAAGCATGTCATCGGACCTGCATCCCTTGTACCAGAGCGATGCGAATGGACGTCAAAGCGGACGATCGTCTAGAGGCTCTATAAAATGACCTGCCTGGATTCTTATCAATCAAGCAGTGAAGAGCTATAAAATGATCCCCTTGACATCATGATCTCAACAACATACAACAATATGTCCCCCCCTCCTCGCTCTATAAGATGCCTTTCCTACGTCTTTGAACATAATCCCATCTGAAGTGCATACTTGCACAAACAGTCTTCTATAAAATGATCGCCTGTGATGTTCAAATATATTTTGGAAATCTAAAGCCACATAATCTACATAACATTGGTGTCCAAAACCCATTGATAGAGGAAAGTGATTGTCATTCTTAGAGCCTCATGTACAGAGTGATGAGACACTAAAAACAATTGGAAGGAGTCCGGAGTCCAGGTCCTTCAAAAGCCCACCATGTGAGACTATATGGAGATGGGATCTATACAGAATCGACAAGAGTCCAACCAGAACAAGTTGCGCACAAAATGAGTGACCCTCCACTTTTGGTGCGCCTTTTAACAGAGCCATACTTTTTAAATGCAGAACCTTTTTATGCAGGAGCATGCGAGGATGCATTCTATGGAGAACATCTTTACAGGGATGTTTTCGCCGTCATTGATGAAACCAGGGGCAAGGATTGCACACGTTAATGAACTTTGTCTGTATATATACAATATAAATCCCTATACATGTACAACTAAAACCTTAGGCATAAAAAAGCGCCCGTTCTTACAACAAAGAACACCTAAGCTGCAGCCTCGAGGGTCAAAAACGCCGAGGTACAATCACATGCATTCTTACATGCAGGAGGCAGAGCCAGAATTTAGATGAAAAGGCTGAGAGAAAGAACGGCTTGCGAGCTGACGCTCATCCGAACAGTGATCCCCAGTCTGTAACTGAAACTCATGTCACTCACTCCCTCCAAACGGCTACCCTACCATTCTCCACCCAACGGGTGAGAACGCCTAAGTGACGGAAAGAACACGACCGCAAAAAGAGACAATGAAACACAACATATAATATAGAAAAACAACACATTCGAAAACAAAAGAGACACATGAAGCGAATTCCTGATAAACTGATAAGCACGTGTACGTCACTATAGAACTTCCTGGCACCAGTGGTGGGTGGATCCTCATCTATTTGAGCAATGCCACCAAAAGGACAAGAACGCCGATATAGAGGGGACAAGAACGCCTAAGCACGAGCAAAGGCGCCTTTACCCATAATAGGGAGAAATTTCTGCCCAACAAGAGGCTCTAGGTATGCATGCATAAGCGAAAGCAAGGCGTTTCTGTATTCCCGCCCACTCGAACAACTAGATGCATCGGATCTTCAGCCACCCCAATGAGGTTCGGAAATACTGATCTGCGGCTGCAGCCAACACCGTAGTCACGTTGTCGGTGTGTCCGAGAAAATCCATCGAGTTATTTGCCGGGCTTCAGGAGGCAGCAAGCTTTGAGAAGCATGCTGGAAACACACTTTACCTTCTGTGTTGCACAGAAAGCCTAAAGGCAAAGCACCACCACGTGGATTTCCCCAGCTGTCTGCGACATTTTGTCTCTTGAAGGTTGCGTCGCGGCTCAAGACTCATTCACCTTCCGCTGTGCATGTGTCGATGCACTTGCGAAGACAGGTCACTGGTTCTAGCGTCCACAGATGTCCACAGGTCGATTCCAGCTGTCGAGCGGAGTCAGTCGCGATGGCGCATGGGTGTCACCCACCGGGAGATCCATAGAGAACAGCGCGCTATTCGAATGTTGCTCTGCCTTGATGCACGGAGCATGATCGGAAAGAGAACGTTGACCAGAGTGTGATCATAGCTTCTAAGGACGTGCACTCACCAGAAGTACCCTGTCTTTGTTTTGAGATGTTTTGAGAAGATATTGCATGCCCATGGTTGTTGTTCTTGTTGTTGTTGTTGTTATCATTATTGTTATGTTGTGTTCATGTTGCTTTACTATTATTATTGTTTGTTTGTTGCAGTTCGTGTTGTTGGTGCTGAAATTATGTTTTGTCTTATGATTCTTCTTGTTGTTCTTGTTGTTATATGTTGTTATGTATTGTTCTATATATATAATATAAATAATTGTTGTTGTTGTTGCTGTTGCTGTTCCGGTTGTTGCTGTTGTTGTTACAGTTTTTGCATGTCGATCCTCCGCCCCGCTGGTGTTCGATTCTTTCTTCCCCTGGCACCTCCTTCGGTTTCCACTAGGCGCCCGGCCGTTTGGAAGCGATCCCAGCCGCCCTGACGAAGGAGGACAGGACAGAAACGGTTCGAGCGACCGTGAGCCAACAAGGTGATGGACTCTATACCAGGACCCACAAGAGTTGGGTGCTGGATGGGTCCTGCCCGGATCACCCCATAAGACGGAGAGCCGTTCCTACAGATTCCCAACGCAAGCTCAATACACAACTGGTCGTCTCGGCATGTCTCGGCGACCATTTTTGAAGGTGGAGTTGGTTCTGGTAACATCTCTTTCGTATCCGCTAGCTAGCTTGCAAACCAGCTTCTGGTGCATGGTGGGTGGTTGCAGGTCCTTAGGGCCTTAGGGGTAGTTCGACATGTTCTTGTAAACTGTCTTAGAAACAAAAACAAACATGTCTTCCAATTTTGAGTGCTCTCTCCCGTGCCCCGGGTGAATGCCCAGCAGGATCTCCAAGAGTGAGATCCACACGGCGAAAGCTCTCTGACTCGGAGCGTCCTCGGAAGAACCCTCCAAGCCGTCCATCCGAAGCCATCCGAAGACCCTCCGAGCGATCACCTATCCAACGGACCCATCTGATGGAATGGAGCCCCGCACCAAGAACTCACGAGAAGCCCCGCACAGGAACACAAACGCTCTGGTTGCCCCAACCGAAGGATGCCGCACCTGCCACAACGTCAGAATTGGCCTTCTCATCCGGTGTGTGACCAGGAAACACAGCCTGCTTAAAAATAAACGTCTCAATTGCCTGTCTTCCACGAACTTCACATTGCCCCCACCCAAATGCGATATGGTAAACCAGGCGCTTTTTATGCCAAAAGGATATGTGGGTGAAATCAGGGTTCTGATATGTTCTGATGGTCCAACACTCTGAGGCTGACAGGTGTTCTAACGTATTTCCTAGCGTTCCTAGGGTCCGCTCTTGCAAATCCGTGGGCTTGGTGATGTTGCCAAGTAGACTTAATTCTAGGGGGTTGTCCACAAGTGGTTCCTAAGCTTTCAGCCAAGAGTTCGGGGTATGCAACATGGACCCTGGAGTGCCAATGTAGAGGCCCACTTTAACGGACCACCTTTCTAATAGGGCTAGATGTACTTGAGCTCTAATTCTTAAGTATAGTTTCAACCCTAAATCCATCCGATCCGTCACGGAAGCCTAAACCCTTTGGGGGAGGTATCGATTGACCTTTTTTGGAGGTAATCTTATTTGGAAGGCTTTGAGGTGGTCACTTGATGTCACTTGTCAACACCCCCACACCCACCCGTTTGGACAGGTACGGTCCCGGGCCTCACGGGGGGAGCTGCTTAAGGCTTCGGAGAGCACCTGTCACTCGGACCGCATTCGCGTAGGTTTCGCAGGACACGACTCACGTCGGGACGTCGTGGTTTTTAGATAAGGCGACCAATCGAGTCGATGCCCATGGCCCACGGGATCTACATCGTATGTTAAATGTCCCAGACAGCTACCCTTGGAGGTGGTCATGGCCTTGGGTGTCGCTGGTTGGTGAACCATTCAGATCTCTGCCGCGTATTCGCGTGGCCAAAAGAGCAGTAGATATGTCGAAAACTCAACAACCATAGGAACTACAACAAAGTGTCTCACCGGCCACACGATTTTACAAAGACTTGTAGCAGGATGCCGCAGGTGAAGTCTTGGTGCTTGTGGACCACACAGCCTATAGAAGAGAGTTGTTATTATGTTTCTTACCAGCATACCATGGCCAACTGAACAAGGGGTAATGTAGACAAACCCCCCATATGTTCAGCAGTTCTTCAATCCAAACGAGAGGATGTTTCATGGTGTTTCATGCAACAACCGCAAACGCCTTACTCTTGGATAGGTCGCTTTCATCTCTGGCCGCGACGCCGCGACCCGGTCCGCTCGGCGTCCTGACCCGACGGTACTCGCCGCTCTTCTTGACGCCAGCTGACGGACGTGCGGAGGCGTCCGAGGGGGGCAACCAAGCATACTCTAGCAATCTCCACCCCATATGCTTGGTGACAGCAAGGAAACTGCCATACAATATAGTTCCATATAGTTCCATGCCTCAAAGCTGGACTAGTGACTAGTGGCTTTGAGATTCCATCATCACTTAGTGTTTTGGTCCACTCTCTATGGCCATGTATGTGACATGAAATACGCATAGGGACGCATCCCTTGTTTGGTGGGTGCAATCCCCTGATCTTCCACGCAAGATTTCAACACCATAAAGTTCACCAACCGATAAAACGAATGACAGCATATGAAAGTGAATTCCCCACCTTCAGTGGCTTCTCTTTCGTAATTATCTTAAATTGGTGCTTCAGTCACAAGGGAGACCTGGGACCACATACCTCGATGTCCTTTTTGGCCAACCGTTTTGGACCGTCAACTTGCCCCATGGCTCTCTTTTGACAATTTGACCATCACAAAAAAACACCATGGGAATCGGCAGCCCATTGGGAATAGACTGTTTAAATGTATCATTCGACTGGACGCACCACTGGAATGACTGAGGAGACCCCACAGTTTGGCCAAAAGTTCTAGCCAGCAATGGATCCCAGTTACCAGTAAACCTGGTGGGTCCAGAAATGAAAACCGCCTAAGCTTAGATGGCTTGCGGCATGTGCATCCTCTGGCTAGGGAAGCAGGCATTCTTGTACTTTTCAAGTCTTTAGAACCATCGGGTTACCCATGAGATAAGCAAACTTGATCCGAGCATAGCCACCCTGAAAAACATACACTGGTTCAATACCTCCTGAACAGCCGAACTCAACAGTAGATTCAGTAGATCCAAACTCCTCATTATTACTTGTAGGGATCCACATAAACTTACACTCTGAGAGCTTGCTTGGGCATGTTCCTATAATATATATATATATATAGCAATTATACATATTGAGAACGTCAAAGTCAAGTACCTCCTGAGAAGATATGCAAATTTTGGGGAGAATATAAACGCGATTCACGCCATTTGCTTTGTATTATTGTGGGTTTCGGCCGCTGAAAATGAGCTCCCGTGCCGAAGAGGTTCCGCAGCGGATCGGCCAGGATGGAGAGATGATCCTGGAGAGAAACAAGTTCCACTTCAACAGCATGGCCGGATGGGATCAGTGTTCCATGCAACCATGAACGACCATGGAAAAAGAGTTGCTAAGATAAATTGTCTATTCAGTTCTGTTCATGACTTATTTTAATCCACAGGTCCCCCTAGGTTCATTGGTACCAGCACCCTCTAACAAATCACCTCTCCTTTTGGGGTCACCCCAAGGTTCTAGTATGTTCTAATTACAGTATATAGTTAATATGTGTTAATATAGCTGGAGGGTGCAGAAAGCTTGCCACCCAGCCCAATCACATCAATTGGTGCGCCTGGGATGTCTTCCACCAAAATGGTCAAATCACATGAGGTGGGATGTCTTCCTCAGCTTCACATGGGTGGTCTCCATGTTTCTTCAAATCATTGCGACTGTCTCTTCTTGGGTTGATCATGGCCTCATGAAGATGGGCTTCGTCCATGGTCCATCTCTTCAGCCCTCGCTGAGGCGTCCGGTCGACCGGTCACAGTCGGAAGAACAGGACCAGATGTTGGAGGGAATCGGTAAACATAAGAGAATGGTCCATATGGATCCAATCTAGGATCCATATGGATCCATATATGGTCCAATAACAAAAGGAGGGACATCGATATACTGACGAATGACATCGAGATATCTCTTAATCCCCCTGTCTGACTCAATACCTGTCCCGGTGCTCGGGCCTCACGGTGCTCTTGAAGCTCTCGACGGGCATAAGCTAAGTAGTCCTGTCTTTCTCGCAGAAGCAGTCCAGTTGCGCCCCACGCGTCCGAAGTCTACTTGGGAGCCTGGGGGGGTCCAGCGGATGGATGGCTCAGCCCGCTCATTGATCAACAAGGAATCCAGATCCTCTGTCGATCCTCGCTGGGAACAAAAGCACCACCCCCCCCCCATGGGCTGGTGCTTCGTGTTTTGTCTTCCTACCCACCCATGGGTCTTTCGGTGGAAAGGAGATGAAAGGAGGCAATCAAGTGCCGGGAGTGGCTGGATGGTGACTTCGCCCACCTGAAGTATGGCCCCACGGCCACGAGCCCGCGCGGACTCGTCGGCCTCAGGTCACGGCGTGACGTTGCTGAACGAGCGTCGGTCACCGAATGAAGAGCTGAATCCTGATACGTGGTCGTTGTGTTTTGGATATTGTTTTGTTTGGTTGTTTGGTGGTAGAAAACCGGAAAACACTCGTATATGATATGATCTCATGTGGCTGGGTTTGTTTACCAGTAGCCACAAGAAAACCCAACGGTGTGAGGATCGTATCCACTTCTGTCCTTCATACACCTGAAACAGTAGATGTTTGGACCATCCCGAATCCCAATTGCAACACAAGAGTACATGGTGACAATGAACGAGACTCTGAAATGAAAGTCTTTGGAAGGAGCCTATACCCATGGTTCCCGTCGATGGGTGGAACCCTGAAGTTCGGGCCGGTGCAGATGAACATCCAAGATCTTCAAAGCACCACAAAAGTGTGTTCATGAGCTTTGAAATGATTGTGAAACTTGTAATGATTGGATACAGTGTAACAGGGAGAAGGTTCTCCAATTCGACCTCTGGGTAAAAAATACACATACCAAAGCCTACTAGTTGGGGGCTCCCTATGTACTCGACACACGCAAATGCCTCGGCCCTGCTGGGCACCAGTCGCTCCACTGGGTTCCCAAGCGAAGGCCCAGGGCTGTTGGACAGCCCAGCGCCCCACCATAACCTCCAGCCCTGGCGATATGACATGACTCGTTCCACCCAAATTGAGGTTCATGCGGGAGGAGTAGACAAAGAGAGTTCAGATTCTCAAACACCGGACTTAGCAAGAAATCACCTATGTATGTGGGGAGCTAGATATTGTTGGTAGCCAAAAGAACCTACTTGTGTTGGCTGGTTCTAGTTCCAATGAGACTAGAAGATACTATATAGAAGATCATTTACACTAGACTATAGAAGTTTGGACTGCTCAGATTTTTCTGGAAAAAGAACAAATATACCCCGGTCAAAACTCTTGGCTCAAATCCCCAAGACTGTTTTTGGCCAGTCCCTACAGAAACCACCACTTGGGAAGACTGAGCCAAGAGTCCTGACGGGGATGTACAAGACAATACTCTTGTGCCTTTGGCCCGCGTCTCCTCAATCTCCTCCAAGCTGCAAATCTCGGCGGCGAGGCTGGCGGTCTGTAAAGTGATACTTCTTGCGACAAAACTGCACCAACCTTCTGCCAGGTAAGCTTCAAGATATGTCCTGCAATACCTGCAATATATTTCTATATGATGTTACAGTATATAGTCGTTATAGTTACAGTATATGAACTTAGTTGTGTTAAGGTTCGCCCCTCGAAACAATTCCTCGTTGGTTACAACACGTTCTGCTATGGCTGCTATGTTTTGCTGAAGCCCAGCACCTACCAAGACTGTGCCTGCAAGGTCTTTGCTACCTCCGGCCGTGCCCCCACCCCAAAAAAAGCGGCCCTAAAAAGCGGGTGACCCGACCTGAGGCTCCAGTCGGTTGGAGCGGAACGACTGACGTCGAGATAACCAACGAATCACGGAACACAAAGCCCCAAGAGATGTTTGCTTTATCCGATCCATGTTGGATGGACAAAATAAACATAAATAAACCAACTTGCTTGGAGGCCCTCTTGCGTCACTAGGTCGAGGATGACTTAGATTCAGGGGCTCTGCCAGATCGAATGAAAGGAATCTTTGGAACAAAAAGGAAAAGAGACCAAAGACCCCAACCCATGAATGTTCTGTTTTTGTACCCTTGGTTGGGGTCTACCAAACCTTCTGAATCCTTGTGCAACCGTCTATCTATCAGGAGCTTCTAAGACATCACCAATCATGAGGCCTCCAAATCCCATCCCACCCAGTATTCGATGTGCAAGAACGGTCCATTTGGTCCATGATCTGCTGCCAACGGGCTTTCCTGCGCGTATATGGACCGACAAAACTTGGCCAACTTGCGCCAGGCGGCTCCGCCGTTCAGCGTGAGTTCCAGTTCGGGGCGTTCTCGTTGGAGCTCCTCCACGAAGTCCTGAGAGAATCAAGGATCGAAATCTGGACCCCAAGGCTGAGAAGTGGAGAGGGTGGATCTGCCAGAATCATCCGAAATCTCAAGCTACATTGCATGAAGCCGGGCGAGGAGTTGATTTGTTCAAGAACATCAAGAACGTTTGGGGATGGTTGAGGGCTCACGTGTGGAAGTTCCAGTACTGAATGGCTGGTGATGCAGTTATCTCCGTCCTCCTCTATAGCTCAATGGTCTGCGGTTTTTTCTTATTTCATGCCCAATAAATGCAGGAGGGTTGGCTTTAAGGCTGCATACCATTGGCTGACTGGCAAGACACGGGCCGCCGCTAGCCCAATGGATGCAATGTTACTCGCCCAAACGCCTGTTTCCCGGCAGGAGGCAAGCTTCTGACCACCTTTCTAGACTGCCTCCACAGACCTTTCCAGACATCCCGATCTTCTTGGTAACACGGCCAGTCACTTCAGAGTCACTTCCGGATTTAGAGCCCAGTTCCCACTTGATTGCATACATGCAGTGCATGGAAATGAGTTGTTGGGTCAACATGGCTGACAAAAAATGCTCAGAGTCTCAGGATCCAATTACAGTAAAAGTACCTGGGACCTGGGATGCAACTCTTGTGAAGAAAAAACTAAGTCTAAACCCAGGCCAACAAATGGATCTTCCTGAAGCAAACATTTGCCATCTTGAGCTACCTTCGGCAGTAGGCAACCCCAGAAATAAATGCTGCGGCACGCCTGGTGGGGAATTCTATATTCTTCGTCACAGTGGTTGGTCACCGGACACTAGCTTCTGGACAGTGTCTAATGCAAAGCCCCAAACTTTTGCAGTTTTGGGGAAGGCCAAAACGACCGTGTCTGATACCGATCGGACCGGCGCAAGCGCCGCGCCGCTAGATCCGTGCCGAGTCGGATCGATCTGGGAAGACCAGCTTGGACAGATCGGTCTGGTGGTGCCACGTCGCCGAGCCGCATGATGCAAGGGCGGCCGCTTGCGGTTTTCACCTCGTCTTTTCACTTTTATGGCTGAAATGCACAACATGATCTATAGATTATAGAATCGCATAGTGTATAGAAAGCGTTGGTACCCTCCACTAGGCAGCAACATTTTGGAGGAACAAACACAATACGTTCAATCTAGCGTTCGCAGGTTAAGAAAAGGCAGCTCCAAGATTGCTTTCGAGTATGTTATATCATGGCCTCTTCGCAATGGTTTATCAGATCAACGAGCCATTGCGTAGAGACAATGATATCCTTGAAGCTCATCTGGTGACAGTCTCTTCCAAGATCTGCTTTAACCAGTTGCTTAACACAGAAGCATAGCAAACCGTCATCCAAGGCGATCAGTTGCAGTGGTCCTGGTCCAGACTCGTCAACTCTGGGACACAAATTGCTGATCGAAAAGAGATCAGTTGTACAGGCAGTCGAAGAGATGCTTTCTTTCTTTTAAACCAAAGTTGAATGAACCAAAGCTCAAATGGGACTGAAATAATCTGAAATATACATTCACACCTGATGTCACCTCAATGTAGTAGGTCAAAATATCCTAGAGTGTCTGAATGATGTCCATGGTCAACCGAAGCCAACATGATCTATGATTGGCCCACAACATTAACTGGTCGGTAGCCTGGGAACCGCCCAAACAAAACCCATGTCCATGGAATAGCTACTCTCCACAAAACATTCACGGAATAAGAGTATGACATCTTGGAAGGCTGTACATTGTTCTCTCTTTGACAAATGTTACAAAACAACGTTGTTCCTATTATATTTTTGTTTAAAGAAATGTACCTACATTGACCCTTGTTCAACCACCCCAATATAGTTATATCTCTGTTCCATGAGGATGTCTGGGGTAGATCAGCCAAAAAGTCATGTTCATTTGTTTATGTTCCTCTCTCTCTCTCTCCTTCTCTGACTACTTCTCTGGCAAAAACCAATGGAAGGGACCTGGAGATCAAATAAACATTCCTCTACCAGCAGCACACACCCACGAATCCCCTTAAAAGGCCCTTGGGTGACCAAAAGAAGTACAGGTGATCATTGATCTGTTGGAGGCTGATGGTGCAGTGTGACAGTGTTTGTTTCAGGTAGATTACAGTAATCATATCAGTTATTCACAACCTCACAAATCCACTTTGCTTGACAGTCTCTGGGCCACCCCACTGGCTTTCAGCCCTGCAAGAATCCCGCTGCGCGCGTGCACGATGAAGCGGCGCACCTGTGTGGGAAGATGAGTCTGCCCAGCGTGGGAGCACGTGAGGATGATGGCGCTTCAATGCTATCAACGAGGAGAAAACTGATGCGGTGAAAAGTGAAAATATACTGCTTTACTATGTTTTACTGTTTTTTTTCTTTTTATGTTGTTTAATCATGTGTGCCAATAACGTAGTATGTAAATGGCTGCAAGCCCATGGTTAGTCTTATGAAGTCCCCCAAATAGTTGAACCCACAAAGGTGGAGGAATCGAAGGCACGGCAGTTGTTTTTCACTTGCCCAGCCACGCCCCCGGCGCTCACTGTGTCGACGAAGCGCAACAAGGTCTCCTTGGTGCGGAGGGAGACCCTCTGATGGATTCGGGTACATGTATTCTCAATTCGTAATGTTATATATATATATATGAATTTCATATTATTGTATCCATTCATGATGGCCGCAAAAGCTTCAACTTGGGGGTCTTTTCACTATATATTATATGATAGATCCTTTTCCACAGCCACACAGCAGCACCTTGGTCAAAAACACCACAGTGTTAGTGGTCCATTGGCCACATCCCCCTCACTGTTGCTCCACGGTCAGACTAGCTCACCCGTTCTGGTTGGGTCCCCCCCTCCAGTTCCCTCCGCGTGTCGAAGCGATCTCCATCTCGTTCCAGGTCGGCCAGGGTCGGGTGGGTCCAGATGCGGCACTTCACACCTCAGATCGCGCGGTAGGCGCCGGCTCGCCCGCGTCGCCCGACGGCTCCGTGCAGAGTCTCCGGTGTCGGGAGGCGACCGGAGAAGGGCGAGCGAAGAGAATGCGTGACTCACGGTCCAGTGCAGACTTCGGGTTTCTCATGGTCGCATGGAGACTTCGGGACGCCTCCGAAAGCGTCTCTGGAGACGAACTGAGCTTCCACACTCACGCCCACGGAGGCAGCTTCTTGCATGGCCTCTGTGCAAGCGCCTGGCTGATGCACCAAGAGGAATCCACCAAAAGCACCGGATTGCTCAACAATCTCGCTCTATTGAACAGGGTCTCCATCTCAACAGCCCGCTTCAGGGGCAGTGAATGAGCAGCTGGTGGTTGACTTCAAAGAACACCTTGTCCCTAGGAAAACAAACACAAACCTGAGGGAAAACACATTTGATCTGAATATGTGTAGCTGACATGAAATCGGAAGTGAGGGATTTCAAATGATGTTCAAAGGCTTTCAGGGGTTGAGCCAAACATTGACCACCCCAAAACAGCCAGATTGCGACGAGACAGTTTCACCACCTTCACGCGAGACACGACGGATTCCGCGGATTCCGCCCAGCCACGCACGAGCTCTGGGCATGTCATGAGCTGCGCTCCAAAGCCGTGGCCCTGGCGGCGCAAAACGGGTCCGCTCAGGTCCGGCGTGATTCGCATGTTATGCGTGAGTTGAGTTGGTCAGAATGACCTTCAACAAAAGGTCAGTTGGTTGGGGGGAAGCTTGCTGTGGGTCTCAACAACAGGTCAATTGGGTGCGTGTTGTTGGTTTCATGGTCGGCAGAGTGAGTGGCTGGTTTTTCAGTTGCTATTTTGTTCAATGCTTGTTGGCTGGCTCAGTGACTGGCGAAATGAATGTAACATATATATAGTATATATATATATATACAAAACATATATGAGCTCGTGGATCTTTCGGGGGCCCCCTGGAAAGCCATTGTTTCTGAATGATCCAACTTTATTTGTGTAATTGTAATTCATCCTCTAACAAATCAATCCTCTGTTAACAAATGGATGTATCTGTGTGGAATCTTCTCATCCTAGGAAAAAAAGATAGAAAATAACATTTCCAAAACCATCGCGAAACCATATAGGCTGGGGGATTATTTTGGAATACTTTGGACACGTTGTGATTCTTTTCTATCAGTTTTCAAATTTGTATATAATATGTAAATCCCATTTGACAGCTTGCTGGTACAACACACTCCAGTTGGTTGACAAAGGCCCTAGAAGTGCGGACAGGAATCTCCCAAACGGTTTTCCTCCCACACTTCTGGCTGTGGCAAAAGCCCGCACTTGGATGTTCTGGCTGTGGCAATTTCCATGAAAATGTTCTGGCTGTGGCTGGCAGACTGCTTGTCAAGTAACCACCAAAAATGGTCTTTGAGCAACTATTTCATCATTGTACTCTTAACTCTGAGGTTATTGGAGATAATGCTTGTCAGTGATATCCATATCCAGAATGTAAGCTGAGCCATGACCTGAACAGATCGGCACAACGTTTGGTCTGGCAGTGGCATTTCTGCACATCGGGCTGCCGCTTCGCCGGTCGTCAGGACCGACCACACGACCGGTCCGGTCGTCAGGTACCCACGGCTTCCATGAAGCAAACACTTTTGCACTGATGGTGCCGCTCTTTTTGCACCATCCCAACTAAAGTCACATACCAGGACTCCCCTGGTTTGGGGTGTCTATCAATGTTTTTGGGGTGTCAATCCCGTCGTGCCACCCTTCACCACCGCGCCTGTCGGGTCTTCACCGCCGCCTCCGAGGGGCAACCACCTCGCCCGTGTCACATGCCGCAACGACACTCAATTGGAGGCGGTTGGGGGTGCCTGGCCCCTACCAGGCGTTGTCTTTCACCAAAGTTGATACTCACCAACATAGAGGCGGAATATTGGCCCCTGGAAGACCAGCTTCCTTTTAAGAACAACGGGGGGGAGCTCTACTTCCATGTTCCCTATATGGATCCACGATGATCCACGTGGACCCTCCCTGCATAACAGTATCTTGAATCACCCTCAGCCGGAGGGCATGTGGATCGATAAGGTATTACTAAGATCACTCAAGTTCTTCTTCTCATCCCAGCTGGAGCCTTCTTCTTCTTTTCGGAGCTTTTGCTGGTTCTGCAGGCTAGCATCGAATTTGGAAAATCATTTAAACAAAAGAACCTGGCTCGCAACGCAGGTTCAAACAGTCCCATATTAACGCATGCGCCTTGGCATGATTGCAATCTTTTAGAATAAAATTACACAAGTTTAATACAGCCATCCACTGTCATTATACCAGCTGCTTCCAAGGGGTCACCAGTAACACAACCCCTTAGAAGTGTCAGGTAGGCTATACTATGCTATTCCTTCCCCCCCCCCAACCCCCAACAACCCGTCCCAGAGTCTGTCACTGCCACCCAACCCGTAGACCTCAGTCCCTGCCGAAAAGACCTTCTCATCCCCACGCTCCGCACGGCTCGGCACGGCTCGGCTCGGCTCGCTCCGCCGCGCGGCAGTTGAGGTTGATCTCGTCGTAGCTCCAGGGCGAGGCGAGGCGCACGGCGTGTGCCAAGGTCTCAGGGTCTGAGCCGCCCAGTTGCAGGACCACCGGATGCTCCTCTCCGGCTGAGCATCGCGACGGAAAAAAGCATCCGCCGGAAGAAGAAACGCGGAGACCGGCAGAGACGGAGAACGCGTGCCGCAAAGCGATGGTTCGAGTACTCCCAAATGTGCCGGAAGAGACGTGGCAGGGGGGAAGATCACGTGGCTCAATGAGGGATGGTTGCATGCATTGTGTTCTTTGAATGCCGTTTACATCGGGACCATAGGATTTGTTCGTCAGTTGTATGTGACATGATGTGAAGTATAATGGCTGTTAACTGTATAACTATATATATATAAATATGTTAAACTTATGTTAAGTATAGTTAATGATACATGTTGGATGGCCTACCATCAGTGACGATCGTCGGTGCACGTATTTTGTGTGCTGCCATACATTGTCTACAGCCATATCTACCCTCCTGCAAGCATCTGTTCTAGATTTTTCTAGGTACCACTAATGGCCGATTTATCCCGGCCGCAAAGAGTGTTAAACATAGAACAAACATGAACAAACCAAGGAAAAACTGCCGCACTCTAGAGCACACAAGGGCATACATACGAGTGCACGCACGCACACACACACACATGCTGGAACCTGGAACTCTCACTGAAGTCCACCAAGGTCACCGGGGTCATATCCCATTCTCATGGAAGCGGCTGGTCAAAGTTACGTTGGTTGGCCAAATGCCCGTTGATAAAGCAAAAAACCTTTTCCAGCCTGTTGCAATTCATTGGGTGTCTGACATGCTTGCGGCCTTCCAGGGGGTTTGGAGTTGCCCTGAAGAACCGGGCTGGTCCAGCGCCCTGAAGAAGTTTGATGCTGGTCCGAACAGCTTGCTCGGAACCGAGCAGGAACCGGTCGACTGAAAGGCCCCGGCTCCAAGGATCCATCCGGATCTTACCAGGCAAAGACTGGATTCTTGAGCCGGGTGGTCACAGTGGTCACACACACAATTAATGGTATACAGGTGTACAGGTGTACAGGAGGCTTCATCAATTCTGGTACGTGGTCTCGCCCGCGAAGACGAAGGGTGAAGTGGAGCAGCCCGCCCGAAGATCCTAGCAGTCCTGGCACCTGTGTTTCGCAGCCAATTGAACAACTTCCGGATGTGCTCTACGATGATGAAGACACGCGCTCAGGGTCGTCTTTTGAGAGGTGCCTCATCTTGTGAAGTCAGACTAACATGTGCAAAACTCCTCTCCTGTCCCTGTCAGAGAGAGGCGCATAGGAGCGCGTTGATCAAACCCAGCCTCAACACTTGCCGTAAGAACCCCTATAGTGTGACCACTGACCACACTGTTTGGAGCTTCGTGCCTTAAAACGTCACGTGCTGCAGCATTGGCCTTTTGGATTTGGAACCTTCGATGCTACTACTACAATGACGTCGACCTGGTTGTGTTAGTCAGATAAATCCATTTGACAACACTTTGAACATTGTGCAACGCTGCTCCATTTTGTTTAAAAAAAGAAAACCATCGGTGGCCCGAGTCACATATTCCACAGATGTCCATGAATTTTCTGGCCTTCCAAGTTCCAACCTCAATAAATGAGAAGATGCGTTCTAGGTGTGTACACCAACACCACAAAACCTGGTTCGGAGGCTTCAGGTCCGACATCCCGGTCCGATGTCCAAGGTGGTGACACGACAGTGGGACAGCTCGCTAGTAAGCAAGCCCTTACCTGAAAGAATGAGTTACCATAAGATGGATACAGTACTTAGAGCTACTGCCCAGCTGTCTGTTCAACTGATTTGGACCGCCCTCTGAAGACATCTGCGCTCCTCTTGGCTGGACATGTCAAGCAATTTCCGCAGGAAGACTGGGTTGTCCTCACTCTGCCACTCTGCAGGAAGACCAAATGGGACTCCAAGAGGCTCAAAATGGGTGGGACACCGAGGACTGGAGACTCCGTCGGTTTCTGGAGATCCCACCTGAACCCCTATCGAGATCGAACCCCCCACACGGATCGAACCCCCGCTGCTTGGAAGAACCACTGGACGTGAGGCACAAATTCAAGACGTTCCCCGGTGGACAGCATGAAATTCTTGACTCAGTCTTCCCAAGCGGCGTGTTTGGGATGTTTTTGGCGTGGGGTGTGATAGACCCCCCCCCAACTGTTCCTACCTTTGGAGGGCCAACATAGAGATCTGCAAGCCTCAATATCCAGAGACGCCGTCCGGTTGTCATCTGTTTTCCCAGGATTCTGATCAACATTGATCAACAGCAACAGCAAGAAAAAACGGTCCCTTTTCGGGAAGAAACTGAGACGCGTCGTGTGTCGCTCTCTTCCACCGCGTGTCCACCGCGTGTTGTCTCCGTCGTCCAGTCGCTTGGGACCGGTCCAAGCCTTATGGTGCCTCATACCTGGGAAACGACAGCCAGTCACGCCTGCCTGTCCCCCATGGATTTCCAATGATTTCATGGTGGGTAGGGACTTGGTCAGTTGCCCGTTTGAGGATGCGATGCGACCAGTGCCATGTCTGTCGAGTTGGTGCCGGTCCTGGTTGTAGGTGATGCTGGTGTCTTTGACCATTTCACTCCACAGCACCAGGCGTTTGGACAGCAATCCTCGGCGTTTTCGTGCGTGGTGTTCGTGGTGCGTGGGTGTTCGTCTCCACCACACGTTTGGATCCATCCTCGGCGACCAACACGAACCCAAGTGGCTCTACCATGCTCCATCCAAGTGGCTCCATCACGAACCAGTGGGCTTCTTGGCAGATCTTCAAGGGTTGAGGACGGAGACTTTGTGTTCTTTAGAGATGACATCAAGAGGGCTCCACTCAATTTCGCAACAGAATCGGCCATCATCTGCCTATGAATCATATACACTTTGCGATATGGTACTAATTACTTTATAAATTCATGGCGTTGCTATGTGTTTACATGTTGGTTTTTCTTGATGGTACTCTCAAACCTACTTGCCTTGCTACCCCCCCCCCCCCCCCCCAAAAAAAAAAAGAAAATATTGCGCGGTCATTTGTCCTCCTTCCATCTTTCACTCGCCCCAACCTGCCATCCAGGCTTGCCGTTTCCCCTGTGCCGAGCCGGGCAGCGGCAGAAGTAGCGCATGTGCCGATGGGTGACCTCGCTAGGCCGGGCGGTCCAAAAACCCCCTGGAATAAGAGGCATAGAACAAAACCATTTGGTTAGAGGTGTCTCCCTCTTGCACCTGTACCTTGGAACCTCCCTGTGAAGTTCCTTGGGCCTCAGGCCGTGTAGTTTGAAATTTAAGGCAGCCGATGCCGAAGCAAGCAAGCAAGCAAGCAGCTACGCGACAACCCTCGCCGACAAACACCAGCTCGACGAGAGAAACCAAACTACTGAGTGGATTGATGGTAGGCAGTGGGCAGGCTAAGATCTTGCAACGTCTGGTAGATACAGTTCAAGTCTGGTGTCAAACGACCGCAGCACATGTTTCACAAAAGAACGAAGGTCCAGCTGTAGCTACGCGAGCTACAAACTTCTTAGAGCGAATGCCCCGCTCACCCACAGGCTCATGCCGACAGGAAGCCTGGGAGCCACACAAAAACATGTGATAGGTGTGTAATCTTTCCATCTCCAAGCATTGGGGAAAAGCAACGTTGCGAAATGGCAGGCGAAAGCTTGCCTGGCCAGGTTAAAGTGATGTTCACCCCAGTCGCAAAATGGTTGTGTCGGGTGAAGGGTGGAAATGCACCAAATGCCAGAAGCAAGGGATAACAAATGCATACAAATGCCATGTTTCAAAAGCAGAGCTGGAACCACGAAGGCGTTAAAGAGTAACATTGTATAGTGCTGGCAGCAGCTTTATTCACTGATCAACAATCAAAATAACAACATGATACGTTATACACACTCAACCGGCCGTGGCGGCTATTCAAGATGTCCAACATGTTTGCAGGCGGAGGAAAAAGCAAAGCCGCCGCTTTGACACTTGTGCGTGTCCATTAAAAAAGAAAGGTAAACACTGAGTGTACATGTATATATTACCTTGTTCCACCTGGATTTGGATCCAGAAGTCACCCCAAATCGCCCAAGCCAACATGAATGCCCTCCAAACAATCGATTGGACTTGTCCGGTTTGACGCACTTGAAGCTGTCGCCACCAAGCACAAATGTCTATTCTCCCACTCACTAACATGGACGTGGAAGACCCGCTTGTTCATTGAGCAAAATGGTCTTGCGGGGACCTGTTCTTCTTCCACGTTAGTGGGTCCAACAATCATGTGTTTGGACAATTGCACCCTTTTCAAGCCGACCATTTTCCTCTACAATTCTACAAGCAGTTGGTCCACTTCCATGTTAGTGGGCCACAGGATTCTTTGATGCACATCCCCACCTGCATCATCGGCGCAATGTGCACCCTGGGGGCCCTCGGGGCTCCTCGTGGCCGCTCAGGCCATGCCGCAGCCCGTGGAGAAGGGGGAGTACCTGGCCATGAGTCCAGAGGCGGGTTTCACATGGTTTCAGCACATATAACTACCCGACACTCCATGTATGGCATAATTATTGATTTACATTGCGGGTTCGAAAGGGGGTGAATGTAGGTAAATATGCCTTTTATACATGGTGATATGGAGTGTCTAGCTTTAATGTTTGATGTTCATTAATAAGTTCTCAAATCATCCTGGAGTTCATAGATCTAGGAATATCTCAAAGAAACACTGATAGCAAACACCAAGCCTTTCTTGAGATTGTCCCAGATCGTCCCATGACCCGGACTTCTGGGATGAACAACGATCCCCGTGTCATTTGCATTCATTTGCACAGATTGCTGCGACGGAACCCTCCGCCCACCTCGTGCAGGAAGAAGGCCCCACACATGTGGCATGGCGAAATGGCGGCAAAATGGCGAGCCCGGCCCGTGTCGGCATGGAGAGGGCGGGGAGCCCGAACTTAAGTACAGTAATAGCATAGCTACTCAATACATCTGAAATCTTCTCAACATACAAAGTCGAGTCACTTCTATTGGTGTTAAAAGTACTGAGTATTGCTACTAGACTTTATAATTTGGGTGCGACGCTTTCTGTCTCAGGCCAAATCTAAAGTATGGATCACAGCCTGAAGCATCTCAACCAGCACCATGGGACTGGCATCCTTGCCTAGCTTGGGATGGTTGATTTCAGGGGTCTTGGGCGATATTTCTTCGGGATTCCAGTCCCATGGAGCGCTTGGCATTTTCAGGGTGGCTTGATACGGAAGCTGGGCCCAGCACATCTTGTACAGACAGCCCCAAGCAGATGGTGATCTCAACATCTCATTGAGGAACACCTCATAGTCACTTCTTGGAGGGTCTTGGTATGTGCTTCAATGACTGTTCACACCCCTAGGGCCTAGGGTGTTTGCACAATTGATTGGGTCCCATGCTGCCAAACATGAAGTGCAAAGTGAAAACAGCCAGTGGCGGGGCACTCCCGTATGTGGACAAGGACACGCCCCCCGTCTTCGGACCATCGATGACAATTCCTCCAAAAACTAGACTTTTGAGCGGCAACCACAGATAATCCCTGCACGAACGATACGTGATTCATTTGATGGTGCTCAAACAAGCGGCTTACAGTATGTAAATGCAGCAAATGCAACATGTGGGCTTGCTTGGAACCTGATGGGATGCGCATTGCAAAACCAGCAAGTGCAAAAGTCAGCATGTAGGCCAACTGCAAGGTGTGCTTTCTAGCAAGAGACCTTGACCTCCCAAAAAAACTATCGACACCTCACAGGGTGCTAGGATCATTGTATCTCCGAGCGGAGCTATGTGAACATCCCACCAACACCGTGCCCAAAGGATCTCAGACTGTACAGTCTCAGTTGGTAAACGTAAAAAAACAAAAACACCCCCACAAATTCCTGTACCTGCATCATCCACCCCGATCCCATTTCAGATTCTGTGATACAGTGCATAAACAAAACCCTTCCCCATTGTTCAATGTGTGGTGAATTTAACACAAAAGGCATTAAACGACTAAACACATTTCAACAACAACATCTGGTCAGACCATGGGTGTTTGTTTCCCTTTTACATTCAGCACATTTCTTTATCCACCAGCTTGCTAGACTCGGAAATACTCGGAACATGTGACTTGAGGCCAGGGGGAGAGGTCGAAAGCTAGCCGAATCGCACCGGATGTACTAGTTACATAGTCGGCAAAGCATGTAGGGATTACATGTTTTGGGAGGAAGGTTGCTATGTACATACTTTGCGCTAAAGAATGTAAATGTGACATCGCTGACTGGGAAGGGTACATTGGAACAACCCTGGTGCACTCGTTGGCAGGCACGAAGATGCGTGATCGGCAAATCTGGGGGGTAAATTTACCCTCCGCTTTTGTATGCCTTGAGTCGGAAAGAGGGGTAAGCATTTCTGACATCATACGGACTGTACATACACTAGGGCGTCCGTAGTGTAGGAGAAGCACGGGTAAAAGGTATATGGAATAGAGTGTCTTGAGGAAATAGCCGGTGTATGGTTATTGCAAATCTGGGGAGTAAATTTACCCCCCGCTTATGTATGCCTTGTGCTGGAAAGAGGGGTAGGCATTTCTGGCATCACAAGGACTGTGCATACACTAGGGCGTCCGTAGTGTAGGATAAGCACTGGTAAAAGGTATAAGTAAATAGCCGGCTTATGGTTATTGCAAATCTGGGGGGTAAATTTACCCCCCGCTTATGTACGCCTTGAGCCGGAACGAGGGGTAAGCATCACAAGGACTGTGCATACACTAGGGCGTCCGTAGTGTAGGATAAGCACTGGTAAAAGGTATCAAGAATAGAGTGTCTTGAGGAAATAGCCGGTGTATGGTTATAGCAAGCCTGGGGGTAAATTTACCACCCGCTTATGCATGCATTAGGTTAGAAATAGGGGTAAACAACTTGTAACGGTGAAGTACAAGTCCTATGCAGCAAGCAGCAGCCAGCAGCAGCAGCAGCAGCAGCAGCCGCCTGCAGCCAGCAGCCAGCAGCAACCACCAACCAGCAGCCAGCCAGCAGCACCACGCAGCAGCAGCGCAGCATCAAGCCGCAGCAGCAGCAGCACCACCGGCAGCAAGCACCACCGGCAGCAAGCAGCAAGCAGCAGCAGCAAGCAGCAAGCAGCAAGCAGCAGTAGCAGCGGCGTCGTCAGCCGCAACAAGTAGCAAAGCAGCAGCTACAAAAGCGGCAACCAGCGGCAGCAGCAAACAGCAGCAGCAAGCAGCAAAGCGGCAGCAGCAGCAGCACCCTTTACACCAAGCCACCGTTTACTACCCAACCAACCACGTTCAACCAACCCCCTACACGGCGCAGCTGGGAGTTGAACCGCGGGGGGCGGGGGGGGGGGGTTAGCTTGATATATCAATCTTTAAGGCACGCAGCCCCTCCCACCACAACATTGCTAAAGCAAAGAAGAACTCAGCTAGCATGCTAGCTTTCGTGATATCCCTAAGCCCTAAACATCCATGACGATCCCCCGAAACCGACAGAGCCCGGGATGACCAAACCCTTCTTCTTCTCGGTGATTGAGAGAGGGTGCGACCTTAGACCCCTCGTCTCCATCCTCAACCACGACCACAACCCGATGCTCGCAGGACGAGCGACTGTTCACTGACTTTTTCAGTTTCCCTGAGCTTGAAAAAAAATTAAATAAACACCCCGACGGCGAAGGGTCTTGGTATAAGTTAAAGCAAACCGTAAACCAACGCGTTTCACGTGTTCTTGCTTAGAGAGGTGTCTCCAATCCCCCCAAATGGTGACCTGCTGGTTCTTCATGTATGCAATTCCTGGGTCAGTTCCACGTGCTTCCCACGGCGTCTCCCGAACTCGCGCAGTGGCTGCAGTGCGCTGGCGAGGTTCGCGAAGAAGCTCAACTGGCCAGGAGTGGGTGAAGCGCAGCTTTTCCGGTCACCCCAAAGTGGGACAAGTTAGAAAGCTCTACCAGTGCCGTCTCTTCTGGCTTTTGGAGACTTACTACATGACCACATGACCTGTTGGAGGGCACTGGTACTGAAAGGTTGACAGATTATGTCAAATTATGTCCATTATAGCTGCTCTATTCAAGTATAGCGAACGTAAACTATCATGCAAACTTCAATATATAATGTAATGTAATATATATATATATATATATATCAACCCCCCCAAAGATCTACCATTTTTTGCTTGCTGCATGCATGTCTGAGTGATATTTTCAGATATCAGATGATGTTTGTAGATGTCAGACATCATTTTAGCGTTGTTGTTATTCCCCAAATAGTGCTCCGCACTAAGGGGTTCTTACGGTAAGAGTTAAGCGGGTTTAGATCAGGGTTCGCGCGTGTGGGCGCGGCATGTTGCGTGGGCCGGCTCGCACAAAAGTTACTTTTTGAATTCCTCATGTCCATTTCGACTGCGCAGGCTCGCATAAAGTGGTGGCCGCGCCTTTCGCGCTTCCGGGACAAAGCTCTCGTGCAGGTGCCGTGCTCGTTTTCGGACATGAAGTGCATTTTGCGTGGCAGGCGCAAGGAATTCGACACATTGGAGCCTCGAAAAGGTCATTTTACGTGGCAGGTGCAAGGAATCGGAGACTTTGCAAATTTCGTGGCAGGCGCAGTGTTTTGTGGACGTTGCAAAAACGTTGGCAGGCGTGTGTCATTCGCAGGATTGCGTTTCACGTGGCAGGCGCAGGGAATCCGCACCATGGATGCGATATTTTGAGGTGAAACGGCTGAATTCGTGAGAGGGGTCGCATTTTTGGAATTTGAACTTGAGGATGCTTTTGCGTGGCCAGTGCAGCATTTCGTATGACCTGCAGGCATGATTTCGTGGCAGGCGCAGCATTTCTGAAACGCATTTCAAAATTTGCGAAAGCCTCGTGCAATTTGCTCATTTCGTGGCAGGCGCAGCACTTTGTGAATCTGGATGTGCAGATTTCGTGGCAGGTGCAGCACTTTGTGAATCTCGATGTGCAGATTGCGTGGCAGGCGCAGCGCTTTGTGAATCTCGATGTGCAGATTTCGTGGCAGGCGCAGCACTTTGTGAATCTCGATGTGCAGATTTCGTGGCAGGCGCAGCACTTTGTGAATCTCGATGTGCAGATTTCGTGGCAGGCGCAGCACTCTGTGAATCTAGATGTGCAGATTTCGTGGCAGGCGCAGCGCTTGCTGAGTCTGGAAGTGGAGATTTCGTGGCAGGTGCAGCACTTTGTGAATCTCGATGCGCAGATTTCGTAGCAGGCACATCACTTTGTGAATCTCAATGTGCGGATTTCGTGGCAGGCGCAGTACTTTGTGAACCTCCATGTGCAGATTTCGTAGCAGGCGCGGTACATTGTGAAGTTTGAAATGCGCCTATGTATTCGCCTATGTGCTCTCAGATTTGTGCTTGTATGTGCTCTCACATTTGTGCTCTCAGATGTGTGCTCTCATGTGCTCTCATATGTGCTCCCATATGCTCTCATATGTGTGCTCTCATTTGTGCTCGTGAATCTGCACTCTCACATTTGCGCTCTTGTATGTATCCTCTCATATTTGTGCTCTCATCTGTGTGCTCCTTCTTTCCTTCCACGTGATGCCATGTTCCATCTGTTCCTCTTTACACTATTTGGGGTCCCTTGCCGGTGAAATTTTTTGAGGTCAAAGCCAGAACGTATGATCGCAAGACCATGCAGATGTAACTTGCGGACGGCGCACGATTTTTCAGTTTTTCCCTTGCAAGAGTGCCACTCCGCTAGATGAAGATGGTCTGCAGGGTCTGCAGATACCAAGTCAAGAGTTCCCCTGTACAAAGCCACATATCCTGGTACTCATACTGGGCGCCTTGGATTTGCGCGCGGAGGATAGTGGAGCCAACAGTTGCAGCTTGACTCAGATGCAGACGATCTTTGATAAAAAGCCAGCCTCGATCAACAATTTGTGCGCCAGCCTTCCTTCGAATTGTCTTCC